CAACAGCTATCCACAGGCGGCCGAGGTTCGGATAGGCTGACTCCCATTCCGGCGTTGACAGCATCTGCGACAGGCTGTCGTGGAAGGACAGGTCTTCGTGGTGATGGGAGAGGATTGTCGTGAAGCTGGTGAGCTCCTTGGCGGCTTTGCCCCAGTCAACACCTGATGGTGAGGGGTAGGGTAGGGTGTGGGACATCGGATATCATTGCAGAGAGTCAATTCTTGGCACGGCAGCAATAACGCAACAAGTAAAAACGCAGGTTTAAAAACAAACCGCTTACCGGGGAGGGTGTCTGGATGGTTGGGCTTCTTCTTGAACAGGTTGCGCAGCGACTCGAGCCATTCGGGAAAACGACGCGCTCTCTTAGCGCGCGAACAAGGGTACCGTCCCTGCCGAAACAGACGGGCCCCGTCCAACGACTGGAGACTCTTCATGCGATCCTCAATGAAGAACACAGTCCTCCCAGCGAACTTAGATGCTGCCTCCACGCACGACGCCAGGTCGCCCCCAAACTTCTCCTTCCCGATCAGGTCCTCGTGCAGCAAGTAGGTGTGAGTCACGGGTTCTCCCGCGGTGTCGATGCTTTCGACCTTCACTTCGCGTTGCTCAGTGCTCCCGTGGTTCTTCAGGAACGTCGCAAGACGACCACTGTTGTCGCCGAAGGTGGAGCCGTACTCCACATAGCGACTTGTCAAGATCAACGTGGTGTGCTGCACCATCGGCCGAACCTGCGTCGCATCAAGCTGCACATATTAAAGAGAAACAGAATTAGTCTCGGCTCACGGAAAGAAAGAATGCAAGGTGTAACTACACGTCCTTACCTGTCGTCGCTGGAACTTGAGATTCAGGCTGTTCAGCTCCTGAAGCACGTCAACCAGAAAGAAGAGGAAAAACTGAAACTTGAGACTGGTAACAAGAGTGTACGTTGTCTTGTCGTACTCATGCAGCAGGACAACGGCAGCAGGCAGGACGTCTGCAAAGCGCTGGATGGCGTCCCCGCGCGACAGCCAGCGGACGTCCTTAATGCCTTGCATCTCCAGGTTGGTCTTTGTGATGACCTCCTGCAGCTTCTTGAATCGCGCATGCTGCACTATGCTGCGGCCGAGAATGTCCGCGAAAGTCCGGACGACTTTGTCGACGACATTGAACTCGGGAAATTCTTCAGCCGCATCCTTAGCAGCCAGAGCCTCCCTGCAGTTATAACACGAGTAGGATTAGTCGGAGGACAGCAAGTGTCAGATACATCACAACAGTAAAAACAACACACTACCTGTGGGCCACGCAGTGGCACGGCACAATATGCGGCACCCGCGTTCGTAATCGCGCCACCAAGCCTGTCTGACCGCCCGTCATCACGCTCGCGCCGTCCGTGGTCATGCCGCTGATCCTTGTCAGTTCGAGGCCGCAAGCAGCAAGGTGTGTCAACAGGACCGCCTCAAGCGACCCGGCGTCGCACTTCTCAACGGACAAGTTCGCGAAGAACTCGGTAACCACCACCGTGCCACGGAGAAACGTGGCATACACAATCATGTGTTTGCCACGCCTTCGGTCGGTGCTTTCATCAAGTTGGAGGCCAACGAAGGGACTGATGCTGATGTGCTGCATCTGCTTCGCCTTCAAGTAGCACACCAGCGTTTCGACCAACTGCTTGAAACCATACCTGCGTCAACGAGGACACAAAAGAAATGGTAAGTAAGGGGTATTCAGAAACCACAATGATGTGAACATATAAACTCACGTTGAACAATAAGTCCCTTGGTCCTTGGCCGGCATATCTGGCGTCCCCATTTCTGCCATGAACTGCACGAGTGTCATGAACATGACAATGGGGGTGTCGGATTTGCAAAGGAAACGCACGGTGAGAAACAGCTGTATCAAACGCCGAGTTTCCGCACTCTTATCTCCAAAGTTGGAGATAGATGCCCGCCTCTTCTGCGGGGCTTCACGCTGCTCCAATCGGTCCTTCGCCTCCCGGTGCCGGATGCTCCACTGATGCTTCCTCATCGTCTGCTTCTGTATGTCGATGCCTCCCTCGCCCCGAGCGACGTACTGTGACTCAGGATCTGCGTACACCATGCAGATCTTGCACCTCATGCAAGGTCGACCTTCGGCGGTGTCACCGATGATGAGCCAAGGGAAGTGGCGGCTCCACTGCTGCTTGGCTTTTAGCTGCAGCTCCTCTAGCGACAGAATCTTCGGTCCGGCATTCTCGGACCCGCGGCGCTCCCCTCCATCTTCCTTAGTTGTGGGATTCCCTGCAGAGGAAGGGCTTGGGCGTTTCGAAAACGGAAGCTTATTTTGCACAAATTTGGTCTTGCCAGTAAACCGCGGCGGGAGAAACGGAGAGCGGGATTGGAATGGATTTTTTCTAGCCGGAACAGATGATGCGACAGGTTGACCGGATGGCGAACCCCCATGGTGGCTTGATGTGGTTGGTGATCGCACGGGTGAAAATGGTATGAGCGGCTCGGCATCCATCTCAGCGAAAGGGTACGGCTGCTCGGCAGAATCGAGTTTCTCATTCTGACAGGCCGAAGGAGCAACAGCAGCAGCTGGGACTGGAGTAGGGGTGAAACCCCCCCCCGTAAGGAAATCCAAGCCAGTGCGTGGGCGGGGCAACGCACTGGAAGGAGGTGAAGCATGCAGAGTGGATGCTGGAGGGGCCTCTGTGCGGGGGTCTACTGCCATCTCGGTGGAACTATGCACCGACTGGCTCTAGCTCACGAGGGTAAGATGAAAGTCACCTAATGCTGTGGGGAGTGAGGGGGGACCGTCCGAACCGAGCCGCATGCATGAACGTCCTCTTCTCTGCTGGAAGCAGCCACGCCATCCATCCCTCGCTGACCCGACGCGCAGTGAGGGCTGTCGGTGTTGCAAATGCAGCCTTCTGCCGTGCGCTGGCACGAATATGCCAAACGAACTGGCAAGATTCGTGCCAGCGGGGTGACTGCGGCGCAGTGACGTGCGGTGGACCGGTGGTGTTGTCACCGACCTCGGCAATGTACAGCCTGCCGGTGGCATCAAGGTAACGCGGCGGGTGGCTAGTCTCGTCCGTAACTGGCCAGGTGGGCAACTGGCCAGGTGGGGGCATTTGTCTGTTTCAAACGAAAAAAAAAACTCGATGTCTGCAGTCTCAGACGAATCGTATAAGGCTGTCTGACAAATCAGACGAATAAAAAAAGTTTCTCTTAAAAATCAGATGACATAAAATAGCTTGTCTACGGCATCAGACGAACCAGTAAAAAGGTGTTCAAATTCCAGAAATTCAGACACATAATTTCTGATAAAGTAAGCCCTGTCCGTCGACCTCGCCTTCCGAACGTCCTCCACGTCGCCTTCGGGTTTTCCAACCCCAAACCTGCACCGAACCTTCGCGCGACTCCGCGACCTCGGCCTAGCTAGCTTTGCTATGTTATGCCTAGGCCTCATTGTTTGCTCAGTAGTTGTAATCACGTCCGTGTTATTGAATACTGCGCACTCTTCTTTCGTACAACTCATAACACTGCTTGTTCTATTGTAACAATTGACGTGATGGTTACCTTGTCGAATTGATTCAATTCTTCTCGCCCATGCGAGCAGCTTCTCGTCAAGCTCAAGGGCGCGTTGGCGAAACAGTGCTTACATCGTGCACAGCTGTAACAGAAGCCGTTTCCCCAAAACACACAAATTTGCTCTGTAAGTTTCGATCTGCACTACGCCATCACAAGCGAACGAGAAATTTTCAGTTCCCCTTTCCCTCATGAATCGCCACCGCGGTCCCGCGAATCGCGCCGCCGCCGCTCACGCCGGTTGGCTGTCCCGCGCAGTAAGCGCCGTGTTCTCGGTGGTTGCCGTGGCGGAGTTTGAGATTCTGTTCGTCGCGTTTCTTGTCCTCGTCTACCTCTTCGTCCGCGACCTGGTAAGACCTGGAAGACAGTCCGCATCATACGGTGCTTTTGGGGTACTCCGTTAAGCGTGATCCTGTTCGCAATCCTATTCGTTGATCCTTCTCGTCGTATTGAATTTCTATAACACGTAATTTGAGCGTCTCAGACGTGACATCCAGGATTTGCATGTGCCGTGAAGCATGTCGCACGGTCTGACGCATGTCGCAAGATCTTATGCATGTCGCACGGTCTGACGCATGTCGCACGGTCTGACGCATGTCGCAAGATCTTATGCATGTCGCACGGTCTGACGCATGTCGCACGGTCTGATGCATGTTGCGTTAGGGCTTGTTATCTCGCCTTGTGCCATGCTTGCTACTACGTCATGCGCACTTAGTCTGTCTTTCGCCGTGTCAGTGTCTCGCATTTTGTTTCTCGCTTTTTGATTGGGTTTTATTTCGCCGTACTCCCTCCTCACCTCGCTTCCTCTCGCTCAACCCCCCTCACCCCCTGCGCCCCCGCTCCCCCCAATCTCCCCCCTGTTCCCTGGTTTTCCCCCTCCCCTTGCATGGGCTCATCCGATGGCCGCAGCTGCAGCAACCGCGGTTCAGCGGGATATTCGCGCACAAGTCCAGCCAGGCGGAGTTCGGGTTCCTCTTCGGGGGTGGGGGCGCAAGGGGGGGAGGCGCAGCTGGGGGAGCGGGCGGGCCAGGCGGAGCATTTGGGGGAGGACAAGGCGCGTTCTAGTTTGGGTCGGTTGGGGTTTTCCGGTTTCGTCGCAGCTGCTGTCGCTGCTGTTGCTGCTGCTGCTTCTGCTGCTGCTGTTGCTGCTGAGGGGGAGGTGGAAGGGAGGCGGGGAAGGTGGGAGGGCGATGATATTCATAATCAATTAACAACAGGACACACAATTCCTCATCTCATCTCCGTGACTACGTCCGCACTGACTGCCGGCGACAGGTGGCGCGTGGGCATGTGAGCAGGGCACGTGTGTCTAGTGACTGGCACGTGTCACGCGGTAGGCAGGCAGACAGGTCTCTCTCTCTCCCCCAGCGAAGCAGCCAGTCGGGAGAGTGTTTGCCCTGCATTGTCAGGCAGGAAGGCAGGCAGGCAGGCAGGGAGGCAGGGACGACACCATGTTTCGCAACACATTCCAATCAGGCTTCCTCTCAATCCTCTACAGCCTAGGGTACGTGCACTGTACACCCTCGCCTGCTCCCTCTCCCCCTCTCCTCTCTGTTTCGACCATCACTCCATACGCATGTTCCCCTACCTCCCCCATCCTCCCCCCCCCTCTCTTGCCCCCCCCTTCTCCGTCCCGTCTCCCCTCTGTTCCTCCTGTTTCCCTCGTTTTGTCTTGCATCCTTGTACCCTGCTGCCCGCCTGTTCCTCTTGTTTATTCTAACCTGCTCCTGTGCTCGTTCTTGCGTCTCCTTTCCCTCTCCCCTTCTCTCTCCCCCCTCCTCCCCCCCCCCTCCCTACCCTGCTTTTTGCGTTTTGGATGGGGTGCTCGAGTGTGCGTTTCTGGGTGTGTGTGGGCTGTCGATTGGGGTGGCATGCGTATGTGTGCGTCTGTATGTGTGTGGGGGGGGGGGGGGGGGGGGGGGGGGCGGGGGAGCATGGAGGGAAAATTTGTGCATGCACATGAATGAATGGGGGATGTTGCTATGGCTCAATGACCATGCCATGCCATGCCATGCCATGCCTTACTCCGCTGTGGGCTCACGGCTCTCACTCTCCACGACGGCCGTTTGGGCATTATGCAGCACCAAGCCCCTTCAGTTGTGGGCCAAGGAAGGTACGCTGTCTGCTGCCATTGACGCCGATAGATGCCATAGGTCTCATCCGTGCTATCAGTGCGAGCGACGCCTTTTGCTGCACCTCCCTTGGCCCTTCCACGATTCAACAAACTCGACCACCTGCCGTTCCACCCTCTCAGCCTACTTTCTCCCCCCACCTCCCATCCCACCCTCTCCCTTTTCCATTTGGCATTGGCGCTTCTCAGTAAACACAAGTCCCTCTTCGCCCATTTCCGCTGCCTACCCTCCCATCTACCACTTCCCTCTCCTTCTCCCCCACACTCTCCCATTCTCTCACCCCCTCCCCCTTTCCCCCACTCCTCTTACCCCACACGTACCTCTCTCCGCAGAGGTCGAGGGTACGGTGAAGCGAGTCACATACCCAGACATTCAGTCAGCCGCCATAGATGCTTCTAGATTCAACTCGACCCCCTCCCCCCCCACCCTCTCCCCCACTCCCTTCCTGCCCCTCCCTCCCTCGCCCCGTTACCTTTCTTATGCAGAAGGCGAGGGCACAGTGAAGCGAGTGACATAGGCGGCCATCCATTCGGCCACCATCAATGATGCTTGACTCAACTCAACCCCCCGACCACGCCACCCTCTCCTCCTCACTCCATTCCCCTCTTTCCCTCCTTGCCACCTTTTTCCCGCAGAGGGCGAGGGCACAGTGAAGCGGGTGACAGACGCGGACATCCAGTCGGCCGCCATAGAGCTCCTGTCGCCCAACATCCGCACCACGCTCATCGCCTGCCCTCCCGACCCCTCGGCCGCGCTGGGCATCAAGCTGCCGTTCCTGGTGCTGGTGCTGAAGCCCCTGGACCGCTACTTCTCATTTGAGGTCACTGTGTTGGACGATAAGAACGTCAAGCGGCGCTTCCGTGCCTCCAACTACCAGGTGTGAGGGCGGGGTAGAGAGTGGGGAGAAGGGGAGAGGGGGGAGGGAGAGATGTTGGATGAGGGAGGGCAGGGATGAGGGGAGGGAGTGGGATGGTTGAGGGGTTGAGTGAGAGATGAGCTGTTTGGATTTATGGGGGCCCTTCTAATCCTTCTTTTTCTTTTCCCCCCATCCCTCTTTCCCATCTCCCCCCCTCCATCTTTCCATGCTTCAGTCGACCACGCGGGTGCTGCTATTCATCTGGACGATGTCTTTCATGAATTCTCAAGCCAACCCCCCTTTCTGCTCCCTCTCTTCCACCTACACTCCCCCCTCTGCTCCTCCCCTTCAGTCCACCACGCGCGTGCGGCCGTTCATATGCACGATGCCGCTGCGCCTGGAGGCGGGGTGGAACTCGCTGCTCTTCAACCTCGCTGACTTCACGCGGCGTGCGTACGGCACGGGGTACGTGGAGACGCAGCGAGTGCACGTGCACGCCAGCTGCCGCCTGCGCCGCATCTACTTCTGCGACCGCGTCTACTCCGACGACGAGCTCCCGCCCGAGTTCAAGCTCTTCGTGCCCTCCAAGGTGCGTGTGGTGTGGTGCGCCTGTGAGTTGAGATGAAACGGTTCAATGCGGTGTACCCCGCAAGGTGTGCCCGTTTGGGAGATGGACTGGCGTTGGAGTTTGAGCTCTTTGTGCAGGCCGAGGCTTAGGGTGCGCAAGGGATCGACAGGTATCGCATTATTGAGACGTCCTTGAAAGGCTGCATATATTTTTGCGACCGTGTCTTCTCCAACGGCCTGCTCCCGCCCAAGTTCAAGCTCTTTGTGCCCTCCAAGGTGGGTGTGGTGCGGTGCGCCTGTGTTGAGATGGGGTGGCTCAATACGCTGTCCCCTACACTCCCAAGGTGTGCCCGTGTGGAAGATGAGCTGCCTCCCGAGTTCTGATGCTTGCTTGCCAAGTTTGTGTGAGCGAGAGTGAGCAACGGTGTACGCATGCACGTGCGCAGACACACGCATGCACGTGTCTCACTGGACACGCGGCATTTACCAGTACTTGTACTCATGTATGCATGTCCAACGTAATGGTTCTTACTTGCATGCCTTTCCTTGCTGCGCTTTACTGTTATTACTTCGGTGCAGGTCAAATAAATCCCATCATCATCCGGTAGGATATTTCGCCTGTTATTTCCCCCTTTTCCTGGCTCACTTATTTCGCCTTGTGTATCCAAGACCTGCCCTTCTAAAGTGAATGCATGCATGAAAGGTTAGGACTAGTGTCCTCACAAACAGTGACCCAAAATTCTGCTTGTTTCTTTAGTCTTTTATCGAGTGCAACCAAATGCTACAACATTCTGCCCAGGAGGAGTAACTCCGGGTAAGGTACTCCGAGTTAGGGCCATGGATCACTGCCTTGGTGCGCAAGTGAGACTGTTTGAGGAATCAATGGATGGACTACGGCCAATAAAAGAGCGACAAGTCGCATCACCGACCAGATTTTCAACAGATCCAGCGGTGCTAGAGGAGAGCCGATTTCCAGCTGAGTTTGGCCAATGGGTTTGCTTTGCGCCACTTTTTTTTTGCAAGCATCACGCATCATCAGCCAAGAGCAGGTTTCTCTGTGAGTACATGTTGGAGACTCTAGCGAATAGCATCGCGACACGATACAAATTACTTTTCTGAAGCAAATGCCAGCGACTACACTTCCACCATGCCTCTGCCCTCAGCAGAACATTCTTTGGGTGCTCAACTGGTGACGTCATCCCTTAGAAATCCCTTTCCTGCCTTGAACTTTTTCGTTGGGTGACGGAGCAGCCTCTCGTTTCGGCAATCCCGTTGCGCCTGCCAGTGTGTCACTTTCCGCCCTCCGTTTCCGCCTACCTCCTCCCATTCCGCCAAAGTTTCCGCCGGTGTTTCTCTCGGGATCTCCTCCATCTCTCCCGCTCTCCAAACAACCAATCAGCAAAGCTCCTCTTGTTTCTCTGCTTCGCGCTGGGTATAGATTCCTTTCCTCCTCTGCTTTTATTTTACGACAGACCACGATTAGATTCGAGCGTCAGCATAACGCACGCACGTAGTCTTGCGAGCTAATCGATCGATTGCTCTACCTCGCACAAATCCAAGAAAACCCGTGCAGCACACAACCAGAGATCTACCAGGTCTAGCACCTTGGCTTTCAGGCGCCCAAGACCACACCGTTCTCGCAGCCTCCAGTGAACTCGGTTCTTCAAGAAACAGCATGGCGGATCCGTCAAATGAGATCGAGAACGAGCCCATTCTGCGGCCCAACCCGCAGCGGTTCTGCATGTTTCCGATTAAGTACAACGAGGTGTGGGAGTTCTACAAGAAGGCCGAAGCCAGCTTCTGGACCGGTACGATACGACCCACTCCTGCGCGCGGGTCCGACAGCATCGTCCTCGCGCGAGGTCTCCTGTATTGCGTTCGCCGCATTGTTTGCATTCGATGCATTTAATGCCCTTGAACGCTACAAGATGCGCTCTTTCCCACCGCCTATGACGGTTTCATCCGGTCTTGTGCCGCTATTCCAGTTGCCTGTCGCGTGTGGCTCCAATCAGGTTGAGACTGCCTTTCCCGTCTCACTTTCACACTCTCACACGCTTGCGTATTGCCCTTCTGCGTGCTTTCCCGCTATGCTTTCTTCTCGTGTTTCAACGCGCCACGTGCCACGTGTCATGGCGGCAGCGGAGGAGGTGGACCTTTCGCAGGACGTGCAGCACTGGGAGGGGCTGACGGGCGACGAGCGGCACTTCATCCTCATGGTGCTCGCCTTCTTCGCCGCATCTGACGGCATCGTCCTCGAGAACCTCGCCGTGCGCTTTATGAAGGAGATCCAAATCCCCGAGGTACCGTACCTTACCGTACCTAACGTAGCTTATTGTTCTCAAGGTGCATATTACGACCGTCCGACACGTGGCACGTCTTGCAATCCAGATGCGGCCATTCTTCCCGTGCTGTCACTCTCCCTTGTTGTCACACTCCTTTGTTGTCACTCTCCCTGTGCTGTCACTCTTTTCTGTCACTCGCAGGCCAGAGCGTTCTATGGCTTCCAGATCGCCATCGAGAATATACACTCAGGTACGCACTCGCGCCGCCCGCCCTTCCCCTTTCAAGGTGCTCTCTTGCGCCGCTTGCCATTTTCCACACGTCTCCCTTACCCGCTCCTCCCGTCCCTTTTTCGCGCGCCCCCTTGTTCTCTTCCCCACACCTCCGACCGCTCCCCTCCTCCCACAGTCATCCGCACACTTCCCCTCCCCTGCTCCCCTCCCCTCCCCTAACCCCACCGTGCGCAGAGATGTATAGTCTGCTGCTGGAAACATACATGATGTACCCCTCCTCTCACCCTTCCCCCTCCCCGCCCGCTTCCACCTCCCCGCCCGCTTCCCCCTCCCCTCCCGCCTTCCCCACATGGGCGCGCAGAGATGTACAGTCTGCTGCTGGAGACGTACATCAAGGACCCGGACGAGAAGGACCGGCTGTTCCGCGCCATAGAGACGGTGCCGTGCGTGCAGAAGAAGGCCGAGTGGACCACGCGCTGGATCGACGGCCACTCCAGGTCAGCTCTCACATGCGGGTGGGGGTTGGGAGGTGCGGGGGGGTCAATCAGGCCATAGTGTGCAGATCCGTTGCCGTGATGAGCAGCTTTCAATCAGCCCATAGCGCGCACAGAGTTGTTTTGCTCGAAACCACATGTTTCTAAGTTTCGCGCTGCTGTTGCTGCCGTTCTCCGTTGCACCTCCCTCTTCCATTCTCCTCACTCCCTCCCCCTTCTCACCTCCCCTACCATTCCCCACCCACACCACACTGTGCGCGTGCGCGCGTGCGTGCGAGCAGCAAGACGAGCTTCGCGGAGCGCATAGTGGCGTTCGCGTGTGTGGAGGGGATTTTCTTCTCTGGCAGGTAGGTGATGCGCTGTTCACTGCTTCGCTGCACCCTGCGCTGCCAAACCATACCTTGCGCGAAGGACAATTAGAGCAGAGCTGTAGTGCCCGAAGAATAGTGGCGTTCGCGTGTGTGGAGGGGATCTTCTTCTCTGGCAGGTTGGACCAACTGACACGCTGCTACTCCCTGCCCCGCTGCCCCCTTCCTTACCAAGCCATGCCGTGCCATGCCCTGCCGCGCCACAACACCCGACATGCCGTGTCTTCCCTGTTGCCTGCCTTCCTTGCTGCCTGCGTTGCTGCCTCGCTGCCATGCCCGTATAACTGCTTGTATACATCTCTGTTGCGCTCCCACCCCTCGCCTCACCATCCGTTTCCGTGCCAATTTCTGGCTGCAAATAGACAACCTGTTGCTCCTGACGCACGTGTGTCCACTCTCCATGCCCCTTCCCCGGCACTTCTTTCCCCTTACTCCAACCCGCCGCCACCCGCGCCCTCCCCGCTTCCTCCTCTCTGCTCCCCGTCCCCCAACAGTTTCTGCGCCATCTTTTGGCTGAAGAAGCGCGGGCTGCTGCCAGGGCTGACCTTCTCGAACGAGCTTATCTCCCGCGATGAGGGCCTGCACACTGACTTCGGCTGCCTCATCTACTCGTGCGTGCTGTGGGAGGGTGCGCGGTGGTTGAAGGGGGTTACAGGGCATGGCATGTGGTGGTTGGATGAGAGGGAGGGACGGAGAGGGGAGGGGGAAGGGGGGAGTGAGGGAGGGAGCGTGGAGGGAGGGAGGAGGAAAGGGCCAATACTCACCTCGAAACTCGACCCAAAACTCGCCTCAGATCTCGTTTTTCTTCGGCATGCTGCTGTTGCAGAATTTGTGAAAAGAGCGCGTGAAGGAGAACACCTGAGACCCACCATAGATGTGGTTTCATAGAAAACAAGGCCTGGTTCGGTTCCTGACAATTCTCTGCATTGTCCCTGTCGTCCCCGTCGTCCCCCTCGTCCTCCTGAGCAGGCTGCTGGAGAACAAGCTGTCAGAGGAGCGCGTGAAGGAGATCCTGTGTGATGCGGTGGCGATTGAGGAGGAGTTCATTCGCGATGCGCTACCCACGGAGCTGGTGGGCATGAACGCCACGCTCATGTGCCAGTACATCGAATTTGTCGCTGACCACCTGCTGGTATGCACGCTGCATGCACTGATGGGGAGTTTATGGTAGCAGGGGGGGGAGGGAAGCTTGCTACCCACGGAGCTGGTGGGCATGAACGCCACGCTCATGTGCCAGTACATCGAATTCGTTGCTCACCACCTGCTGGTACGCACGCTGCACCTGGACCCCCTGTACGTATTCATGTGCCACATGGGTATGGGCCATGATTACGTGGTGTCATGTAATGTACCAGGGCCTTTGGCTTCCTTTGCATATTTGGCCTATCTTTATGGTCATGTGCAGCACCAGCACTCTTTTGCTTCGTTGTGTCAACCTCTGTCATCCATTCCTCCTAATCGATTTCGGTGTTGATCTGTTTTTTTTTTTTTTTTTTTTTTTTTTTTTTTTTTTTTCCCTGTGTGTGTCTTACTCTCTTTCCGGGACCTGTGGTGGTTCAGATTGCGCTGGGGTGCAGCAAGCAGTACAACGCCACTAACCCCTTTGACTGGATGGAGCTCATCTCACTGCAGTGAGTCGCAATGCAACCCTGCATGCCTCATACCGCCCTAGCTTCCCTTGGTTTGCACCGGCCTTAAAGTCGGCCCCACCATGCATGCATCCACCGCCGCCATCATTACCACCACCCCCATCACCACCCCCATCACCATCACCATTACCCACCTTACCCCTTTCCCCTTCGCTCTTCCGCGCTCCCCTGCCTCCCTCCTTCCGCCTACCTCCCCCCAGGGGCAAGACGAATTTCTTTGAGAAGCGGGTGGGCGAGTACCAGAAGGCCTCTGTGATGTCAGGGCTGAATGGCGCCCCTGGACAGGGCAGAGTCTTCAGCACGGAGGAGGACTTCTGAGGGGTCTTAATGGGTTGTGTGGGGCGAATCGGGACGAAGTGCTATGTCAGTCGAATACGAATAACAGGGTAAAGTATGTACGGTAGGATTTGTAACCGTGCACTAATGGTTGGAGGAGAGGTGGTGAAGGAGGGGGGAACGGAATATGATATGGTGGTGGAACTATGTTAGTGGTCCAAGCCATGGCAGTTACATTTATCACAGAGTGGTCCGTCGTTCTGTTGTACCGCACGGCTATAATCCTTCTGATATACCAGGCTCTTGGTGTTACCCCGCGATATTACATAAGATTTTACTGTACGTTTTCTTATACCAGCTTTAGGGTACACCTCTAACGTAGATATCTCGGGAGTATGCTCTCTGGTGTGTCAATTGCAACGAGTGCAGAAGCCTTCCAGCAAGCTCCCTGCATGTGGTTGAATGTATCAGTTGCCAGGTCATCCCCGCAGCAGCCAGGTATTGTGACAGTCAGCCAAGCTATCAGTGCACTTCATAAATACTATGGTAAGCAGCAACCACTACAGTAGACACTGCTGTGACATGAATGTACCGCAAATCACTCATTATTGCAGAAGAATCAGAGCATCGTCTCTTACAGCAGCAGCAGCATGAATAAGAATGCTGCGCTACACTCCGTTTGTACACCTGCCCCACCTAGGTGCAGTTCCAACAGTACCACTCAAGAAACAGATGAGGTGCTAGCAGACAAATCTTGCATCACACCGCCTATTTTCAAGCAAATTTCGTAAGCGGCCTGTTTTCCACCACACCGCATCACACCCCAGCAAACCCAAACACACCCCGCTCCACCTCACACGCCTCCCAGCGCAGCAGCCCTCTCTTCCGCAACCCCCCTTTCCGCAGCGATTCTCTCCTCCGACGCCTTCCCTCCCCCCAGGTGCAGCAGCGAGGACACGTGTGCAACGGAGGGGAAGCGTGTGAGCCCGTCCACTTTGCTGGCGCTGTCTGCCTGCCCCACCAGGTGGTCCCAGCGGCCGAGGAGGAGGAAGGCAAAGAGCATCAGCGATGTCGTCACGCCCAGAGCGATCTTGTACCCCTGGGTGGTTGCCAGGGGGGAGGGGAAAGGAAGGGGGAGAGTGGGGGGGAAAGGGAGGGGGAGAGTGGGGGGGAAAGGGAGGGGGAGAGTGGGGGGGAAAGGGAGGGGGAGAGTGGGGGGGAAAGGGAGGGGGAGAGTGGGGGGGAAAGGGAGGGGGAGAGTGGGGGGGAAAGGGAGGGGGAGAGTGGGGGGGAAAGGGAGGGGGAGAGTGGGGGGGAAAGGGAGGGGGAGAGTGGGGGGGAAAGGGAGGGGGAGAGTGGGGGGGGAAGGGAGGGGGAGAGTGGGGGGGGAAGGGAGGGGGAGAGTGGGGGGGAAAGGGAGGGGGAGAGTGGGGGGGAAAGGGAGGGGGAGAGTGGGGGGGAAAGGGAGGGGGGAGAGTGGGGGGGAAAGGGAGGGGGAGAGTGGGGGGGAAAGGGAGGGGGAGAGTGGGGGGGAAAGGGAGGGGGAGAGTGGGGGGGAAAGGGAGGGGGAGAGTGGGGGGGAAAGGGAGGGGGAGAGTGGGGGGGAAAGGGAGGGGGAGAGTGGGGGGGAAAGGGAGGGGGAGAGTGGGGGGGAAAGGGAGGGGGAGAGTGGGGGGGAAAGGGAGGGGGAGAGTGGGGGGGAAAGGGAGGGGGAGAGTGGGGGGGAAAGGGAGGGGGAGAGTGGGGGGGAAAGGGAGGGGGAGAGTGGGGGGGAAAGGGAGGGGGAGAGTGGGGGGGAAAGGGAGGGGGAGAGTGGGGGGGAAAGGGAGGGGGAGAGTGGGGGGGAAAGGGAGGGGGAGAGTGGGGGGGAAAGGGAGGGGGAGAGTGGGGGGGAAAGGGAGGGGGAGAGTGGGGGGGGGAAGGGAGGGGGAGAGGGTGTGGGGGGTGAGACAGGGAGCAGGGATGGCAGGAGGAATCCTTTTATTAAAAGGCTCCCCCGTCCCCCCAGGTGCAGCAGCGAGGACACGTGGGTGACGGAGGGGAAGAGCGTGAGCCCGTCAGATGGTCCCATCGACCCAGCAGCAGAAAGGCTAAGAGCAGCAGTGATGTGGTCACGCTATAGCAATCTTGTATCCCTGCCTGCCTGCCTGCTTGGCTGCCTGCTTGGCTGCCCGCCCGCCCGCCCGCCCGCCCGCCTGCCTGCCTGCCTGCCTGCCTGGTTGCGCAATCTTGTATCCACCACGCCACACACACCTGCATGTCCTGGTCCGCCTCGTGCTCGTTAAAACCGGAGTCCCAAACAGCCCGAAAGTGCCTCAACCTTCCTAACTTTGAGAAGGGGTGACCCAGTAGGTACGACTCACTTCGCAAATCGGGGGGACAATTTTCGTCACGCGAAAAAACTGTTCTAGCGAGGACGAAAGCAGTGACGATTTCGCCAACAAATTTGAAGCCCGTCCGAAACTGTCTGCGAACCAGTTCTGACGTTGCATTCCAAATCTGGTTATTTTCACGAAATTTTCTTCCTTTGCGACCCCGGACCACCAATTTCGACACCACCCTGCCTCGCGAGCCAGTCACCTTTCTCTCCCCTTTCAACCTTCCTAACTTAGAAACTCTTGGACCTCCGGTTTTAAGGCCAGGCCGCTTTTGAGCGCGACCAGGACTCAAAACCCACGACCAGCGCTGATCAGGCACACGCATGCACACACACCTGCACGTCCTGGTCCGTCTCGTGCTCGTAGAGGCCGAGGCCAAGAAAGAGCACGTACCACCCCATGCCCACCGCCAGAATGCCCAGCAGCCAGTGCGCGAAGTACCATGCCACACGTATCTAGAGGGGAATGGTTGGTCAGACAAGGGGAAGGGGAGGGGAGTGGGGGATTGTGAAATGGCTTGTCGAGGCCCAGGGCCGAGGAAGAGCACGTACCACCCCATGCCCACCCCCAGTATGCCCAGCAGCCAGTGCGTGAAATACCACGCCACACGTATCTGCGCGGGGGATGGTTGGGGGGACGGAAGGGGGTGAGGGGGGGGAGGTGGGGGGGGGATGGGGGTTTGGGGGGTCATGAAATGGCGACCAGGGGATGCCCAGCAGCCACTGTGTGAAATACCACGCCACGTATCTGCGCGGGGAATGGTTGGGGAGACGGGAGGAGGGGTGTGGGGAGGGGGATTATGAGATGGGCGCATGGTTGGGCGAATGGTTGGGGAACCGGGGGGCGAGGGGGAAGGGAGCATGAGGTGGCGCGCAGGGGAGGGGTGCGCAGCAGCCAGTGCGCCAAGTACCGCGCGCACATGCATCTGTGGGGAGAATGACGGCGCATGGGCGAGACATGATGGGGGCGGAAGAGTTGGGGGCGGAGGAAATGGGGGCATAGTGACGGAACATGGAGTGGAGGCACGAAGGGCGACATCAGAGGCCGAAAAACAAAAATCCCGCCCACCATCTATTCCCGTTGGGCGGGATGGGGTAGACAGACACGAGTGCGTCATAACGCGCGCACCTTATTCCCCTTGTGCCGGCGGCACGCACGAAGCCCAGCCATGCAGACTGGGCAAGGTGAAGCCACGAGAAACATACATCATGAGCTGATGATGTACGATGCATCACGAGAAACGCACTACCAGCAGAGGATAGGCAGGGCAGATAGCACACTGCCAGTATGTCGCAACGAGAGCGCAGCGCACCTTGTTCCCCTTGTGCGGGCGAATGACCCCCAGCAGCGGCTGCGCGAGCGTGAAGGTGAAGACCGCGATGCCCATGCGCGCATGGCGCGACTCCGTGGCGGCCTCCGCGCCGAACTTCCCCACGCCGATGAAGAACCCGATTATCGCGAGCATCACCGCCAGCAGCTGCGATAAATAAATCAAGAGGAGGGGTGTGAGATGGAGGAGGAGCGTGAGAAAGTGAGTGGAGTGAAGGGTCACGAGTCGTACTCCGCGCCCAACTTCCCCACGCCGATAAAGAACCCGATTATCGCGAGCATCACCGCCAGCAGCTGCGGGGGAGATGCGGAGGGGAGGGGGATGCGGGGGAAGGGGGGAAGGGGGGAAGGGTGGAGGGTGAATTGACTCAAGGGACACGAGGCATCCTTGCGACCAAACTTCCCCACGGCGAGGAAGTACCCGATTATCGCGAGCATCACCGTCAGCAGCTGCGGAAAATCGGGGGGGATGGGAGGGGGAGACAAGAGGGGAAGGTGAGAAAGCGAGCGGAGTGAAGAGCACGGGGCGTCCTTTCGACTGAACTTCCCCACGGCGATAAGGAACCGGATTATCGCGAGCATCACCAACAGAAGCAGGTTTTGAGTCGACCCAAAAACAGTAAGTGCGAGGGAGCGAGGGAGGTGCGAGGGAGCGAGGGAGGTGCGATGGAGCGAGGAGGCGAAGGAGCGCACCTGAATGCCCCAGTGAATGGCGAACCACTTGGGCGTGACGGTCTGCAGATGACGCGCCGTGATGAGCCCCACGGGCATCAGCAGCCCGTACGCCAGCCACAGCAGCCACCCGTGCACCTGGGGATTGCCGCGCAGGGCGAGAATAAAATGGCGGGGGGGAGGAGGGCGGAGAAAGGTGGGAAGAGGAAGATGGAGGAGAGGGGTTGGGGGGGGGAATGAGCAGCCCGTACGCCAGCCGCAGCATCCACCCGTGCACCTGGGGATTGCCGCGCCGCGGGGAGAATGAACTGGGGGAGGCGTGAGATAGATGGGAGAGGACACTGATTGAAAACCTCAGGAATCGCTCGGAAGGTAGGGAATGAGAAGCAAGTATGCGAGCCGCAGCAGCCAACCGTGCACCTAGGGATTGCCGAGCCGGGGAGCAGGTCAGACGGCCGAGGAAGGGGGGAAAATAGGGAGAGAGGGAAGTGAGAAGGAGAGGGAGAGATGGTGACAGGGAGAGAGGGAGAGAGAGAGGGAGCGAGAGAGGGAGAGAGAGAGGGAGGGAGAGAGGGAGAGAGAGAGGGAGGGAGAGAGGGAGAGAGAGAGGGAGGGAGAGAGGGAGAGAGAGAGGGAGGGAGGGGTAAAAGGGGAGGGGGGGAGAGGAAAGAGGGAGGAGACGAATGGGAGAGGGAGAGGGAGAGGGAGAGGGAGAGAAGAAAGAAACGGATAGAAGAAAGCAAAAAGACGGAAGCGCATAGTTTCAGCGACCGTCTAGAGGAAAGTCGTTCACAACTTTCTCTGAGCATTCTCGCAAACCAGCTTGTCTCACAATTCCAACGACTGTTTGGAAGGTCGTTCGTGAGTTTCTTTTCATCATGGCTGCGTGTGGCCTCCTATCCCATCTCCGCATTTTCTAGTTCGCCAGTATTTATGGAACGCGCCGGAAATATTCATTTTTATTGTTAGAGGAACATCGCCTGACATTCTCAGACAACTTCAGAACCATTTTTACGGCAGCGCACCTGAAACAGAGCGGGATCAACGCTATCCTCCTCTCCCTCCGGCTCCGCAGAAGGCGGAGGAGCTGACGTGGAGTTTGAGGGCGACGAGTCACCAGCGGAGGCTCCGAGACAGAAGAGGGCGAGGCAGGCAACCAGCATTACTACAGAGATTAATATCCACCGAGAACTGCGAGCCATGTCGCGCACTTTTGGATACGGGACGGGAATCAGTATGGTTTTCGACGGTCGGACTTGAGTGATTGGGTACCCCTGGCTGGCCGGCGTTCACCGAAGCAAGAAGCGAAGTCGTGAAGATCGCCAGATAAAAAAAAAGAAAGAAAGCGACGGGATCGTGCGTTACGCAACGTTCGCGAAGAGCGCCTTGGAAAGGCGGCGAGCGAGGCGAGGCAACTATTTGTTTACGCTCATTGGTAGCCAAACAACAGATGGGCTTACGAGGCAAGGAAGGAACGAAGAAGAATGAAAAAGGCAGAACCGCGAGCAGGAGCATCAGCTCAGCACACAGCGAGCAGACTCCCTCGATTTGCTCAGAAGTAGTTTGACGTTGCACTGACACCAAGCATCATTCCCGCCACCGACCAGATTTCAACAAATCAAAGAAAGCCATGTAGGATAGATTCTGACCATTTACGACCTTTTGAACAAGAGGGAAGCCCTCCGGGCGCGTGTCGTAGATTTTTCTTGGAGATCGACGGCGCAGATATGGCGGTGACAATATCTGTCAGTCCAGCTAAGAATCGCCACGAGCTGGTCTGCCTTTTTCTGTAATGGAATGGACTCGGGGAGGTGTGCTGACGTAAAAGGCACGGACATTCGCCGTTGGATGGGGAAAAAGGCAAATCTGGTTTGAAGGAACTAAGGGCGCATCACCTCGGGGCTGGAAGGCCCAAATCCGAACATACGTAACGAATTCACTGTACGAACAGTTTCCCGACGAGATCCGAACACAAATTTGAACACCTTGGTGAATGTGACAGCTCGTGACTAGAGGTGACAGCCTGTTCGAACATGCGACGTCGCCAAGTGTTGGACGACTTCGCGAAACGTCGCAAAAAAATAATTCTGTCGTCTGCCATCCAAGTTTGACTCATTTTTCGCCCATCCAGTCAAACAGTCTCTTCGTGCTCTTCTACTACTGCTCACCTTGTTGTTTCCCAGCAACAATGTCCTTTTCGATGAACTTTCTCCTGCATGGCGACATTTGCAATGGTCGCAAACATTCGTGTGCGACCCGAAGCCTGCTAACCAATAAAATCAGTCGTCCATGCGGAATTCCTGTCACCAAACCCAACTTTGTTCGAACAACTCTGTTCGAACGTGCGGAATGGAGAGCTTCGTGCCCCGTGTGACAGCTCTGTTCAGATTCGCGAAATTTCCGACTAGCGACGTCACGAACACCCATACGAGGAGTGGCGAAAAACGTAACATTTCGCCTGTTCGAACAACCGTGCTGTTCGAACTGAGAGGTGAAGCGCCCTAATCAGTGGTGATTATGGTTACTCATGAAGAGAGGCCTCGATTTTAGCTTTGGCGGTGACACAGCTCACAAGTGGAGCCTACCGGCGTACTATATGTTCAGACAAAGGTACTTGACTGTTCCTGGACTCTACCCATTTTGCCAAAATGGCCCCTTATTTTTGCATTACTCCAACACTTCCAAATCAGGTCTACGGCTTTACGCGACCTCCCTGAAGGAGGTTCCACATGTATTGGCCAGAGGCTTCACCTAGCATTAGCATCAACTGCTATTGAGGACAAGAAAAATCGGACGGGGGAAAGCAAACAAGTGAAAACAGGAAAAATATTTGCATTCCAGGACAGCTCCCTATTAACCTGCTGGATTTCCCCTCACAACGACGCTGTGCGAGTAAGCTCTCTTTCTGCAGACCGCTGCCTCTGCTGGTACTTCTTTAAGTGCCACCGCACCGACGCTTTCTCGGCAACAGCAGCCATGGCTGCACTCACATGCATCGATGCCGTCACTGCCACCGCTCTCAGCTTCCCCAGCGACCGAATCTGCTGCTGCTGTTGCTGTTGTTGCTGCTGCTGCTGCTGCTGCTGCTGGTGCTGGGTGCTGTGAGTCATACTCCGGAAGCTCTTCAGCCCGGCAACACCGGCTTGCGTCTGTGAGTGGACCATGGCCGTGCGTGGGCGGGGAGGGGATTGTGAGCAGAGGTCCACAGCAGATGCCGAGCTAATCCGCATTGACTGCTGCTGCTCTTCCTCTCCTTCCTCTTCTTCCTGGACCGGGGATGTGCCAGGGGAACCGGTCGGAGATGTATTAAAGGAGGAGGAGCAGAGCACAGTCGCATTGGGCGCCAGTACAACCACAGACGTGCTTTCGTCGTACGAGCGCGAGGGAGCGAGGGCTGTGCCGTTGGGAGGGAGGCGATGGAAGTGACTATTGCTAGTAGTGCGGGTAAACGAGTTGTTACCACTCGTGCTGCTGCTGCTACTGCTACTGTTGCCCTTGCTCATACCCTTGCTGGTACCTGTGCTGGTACCTTTGCCGTCTCCCGCTTCCTCACCACCACCACTGCCGCTCACCTCCCTGCTTCCCCCACCATCAGTACCATTCACTCCGTTCGTTTCAGCAGCAACAGCAGCAGCAGCAGAATCACCACCACCATTCGCAGCAGCAGCAGCGGCAGTTTCAGCGGCAGCAGCGGCGGCGGCAGCGGTGGCAGCACGGGTGGAGGTGTAGGAGGCGACGCGCTGCTGGCGGAGCTCCAGGGCTGCGATCACCGTCACCTTCTGCCGCCGCCGCTGCTTCGCTATCGTCGCCATCGACATGCTTCCCAGCCGGTCAAACGCCACCTGGTGGGGGGAAAGAGGGGCCGAGTGGGAGGGGCGATGCAATCGAGGAGGCGAGCTGAGAGTAGGGCGGTGTGATGATCTGCAGCCACCGCTGATTGGCTATCGTGGCCATCAGCATGCTTCCCAACCGGTCAAACGCCACCTGGTGGGGCCAGGGGGGCGGAGAGGGAGGGGAGAGGGAGGGAAGAGGGAGAGGAGAGGGAGGCAAGCTGGAGGCACAGACACAGGCACAGGCACAGGCACAGGCACACACGCTAACATACAAACACAGGCATGCACTGACCTGCAGCAGCACCTTGGGGTCGTACTGCTGCGCTGTGGATCGCAGCAGCAGCTCCACCTGTTGAAGATACACATGGTTGCACACATGATGACAAGGCCGTGGTGCAGCACAGGACCACACAAGGCAGGCAGGCCCACGGTGGCTCTTTCACGGTCTCTCACCTGCAGCAGCACCTCGGGGTCGTACTGCTGCGCTGTGGACCGCACCAGCACCTCCACCGCCTCCCCCACATGCGCCGCCTGGTATAGCTCCGCCTCGTTCATCTGCCATGCATGGGTAGGGAGGGGCGGAGGTGCGGAGCGGACGGGGACGGGGGAGAGTACAGGGGAAGGGAAAGTAGGATGAGTAAGTAGAGGAAAGCTACCACATCCACCGCCTCCCCCACATGCGCTGCCTGGTATAGCTCCGCCTCGTTCATCTGCCATGCACAACCGCCATGCAGGTTTGGGGGGGGGAGAAGAGAGAGTGCGGAGGAAAGTGAGACGACAAGGGGGAAATGAGTTTGGATCGGACAATGGATAAAGCACAAAGAGTTTGGCAGCAATGCAGGCAGCAAGGCAGGGCGGCGACGCAATACAATGCAATGCAAACAGTGTGGGCGACGCCCAGGCAGGCAGGCAGGTGTGGCAGGCAGGTGCGTGTGGCAGGCAGGTGCGTGGCAGGCAGGTGCGTGTGGCAGGCAGGTGCGTGTGGCAGGCAGGTGCGTGTGGCAGGCAGGTGCGTGTGGCAGGCAGGTGCGTGTGGCAGGCAGGTGCGTGTGGCAGGCAGGTGCGTGTGGCAGGCAGGTGCAGCAGAGAGGCGGACCTTGAAGAGTGCGAGCGCGACACGGAAGAGCACCTTGGCACCCTCGTTGAATAACACGTCCCACACGCGCAGAGTAGTCTGGTGGCGCGGCGCGGCGCACGCAAGGGGGGACGGGGGAGGCATGGTGAGTGAGAAGGAAGGTGAGAGAAGAGCACAGCACGCTCCACGCAGACGAGCACCTTGGTTGGCACCCTCGTTGAACAGCACGTCCCGTCCCACACGCGCAGCATCGTTTGGTGAGTGGGTGGGTGGGTGGGTGGGTGGGTGGGTGGGTGGGTGAGTGGGTGGGTGGTGCACACAGGGGGATCGGAAAAGGTGGGTTGGGGGCAGAGTAAAATCTGAAACGCCTCAATATCGCCCCTCGTTGAAAAGCGCGTCTTACACACACGCAGCTTTGTGTGGTACACATGGGGAAGGGGGGAGGGATGGTGGAGATGTGATGGGGATGCGATGGGGGATGGATGGTGGGGGAATGATGGGAAAGGGTGAGAGGGGAAAGGGCACAAGAGGCAGGTGGGGGCGGATGGTGAGGGAGAGGATGAGGAAGCAAAGATAGATAGGGGTGGGTGGTTGGAAGAGGGGGAGTGGAGGAGAGAAGCAAGACAGGTCCGGAGGCACAGACGCACAGCATTGTGCAGAGGATGAGGTTGGGAAGAAGGAGGTAGGATTGGAAAAAGAGCTAGCGAGAGATCGAACAAGGTTGGAAGAGAGGGAGAGAGAGCATTTGAGAGAAAGAGGCAGCAGGGCATCGCAGGTACCTCGGAGGGGAAGCTCTTGGCAAAGTCACAGAGGAACCACTCACTCAGTGGTGACGAGGAAGAGAGAGACTGAGGGGGCGAGAGAGGGTTCAGAAGCCCAGGCGAGGAGGTGAGAGCGAGGGAGCACAAGGAAGGGAGTGACTGAGGAATAAGATTGCATGGAACACACCTCAGAGGGGAAGCTCTTGGCAAAGACACAGAGAAACCACTCGGTGGTGACGAGCGACGGCTCAAACTGAATGGCGTCCAGATGCGCTGCCAGCCTGCCGTACAGGTAGATTCACACGTAGAGAGGGTGGTTTTGAGAAGTCTCAAAAACATCAAACTGAATGGCGTCCAGATGCGCTGCCAGCCTGCCGTACAGGTCGACCGTAGATTCACACGAACGGGGTTTACACAGATAGAAGGTCATGCGATTTCGTGAGCAAGAATCCTTCAAGCATCGCGACTGGCCTACCCTGCCCGCCCTGCCTGCCTGCTCTCGTGTGCAAGGTTGAGGAAGGGGGAAGGCACTCAAGGACCCTGCCTGCCCGCTCTCGTGTGCCTCATAGTAGTCCTTTCCCCTTCCTCAACCTTCCCCCACCATCCCCTCACCTCTTCCTCCCCCAAACCCTCCCTCTGTTCTCACTTGGGCTGCTTGCGGTGCAACAGATCCTTGAGCACGCGCTGCTCCACTCTCCACGCCAAAGAGGTCCTCAGCCGTCCTCCTAGCACTCCCTCCCCACACAACACACAACCATCCCCCGTACCCCGCTCTTCAACCCCCCCCTCTCCCCACCGCACAGAGCACTCACTTGGGATGCTTGCGGTGCAGCAGGTCTTTGAGCACGCGCTGCTCCACGTGCACGCCAAAGGGGACTCCTCCCGTGCTCATTCCACACCCTTGTCTCTCTTTCGCACTCGCCCCCCAACCTTCTCCCTCTCCCAAACCTCACTTGGGCTGCTTGCGGTGCAGCAGGTCTTTGAGCACGCGCTGCTCCACGTGCACGCCAAAGAGGTCCTCGGCGAAGCAGTCGTCGTACAGCACGTTCTCCACCAGCGTCGCCAGCATCCAGAACGCGTCCTCCTCGCTGCGCATCACCAGCAGCAGGTATGCTGCAACATAGTTCATGCCCTGGTGGGACATGGGGCGAGGGGGGTGGGGGGGTGTGTTGGGGGAGAAGGAGAAGCTGAGAGGACGAGAGGTGCATGTGCGTCACCAGCAGAAGCAGCAGCAGCAGAAGCAGAAGCAGCAGCAGCAGCAGCAGGAGCAGGAGCAACAGCAGCAGGAGGTACGCCGCGTCATAGTTCATGCCCTGGAGGGTCAACAAAGTGTTGGGGAAACTTTAAGTGAACCTGTGACTGATTTTTCCGATTAACCGGTGAGCCCATGCATGCTTCTTTAAGTGCTCGAGAGCAGTGACTAGGGTGTGAGGCAGTGAGCACCCAACCCAAGGCAGTGAGTACCAGGGAGGCAGGTTGTACCTGGGAGGCAGGTTGTACCTGGGAGGCAGGTTGTACCTGGGAGGCAGGTTGTACCTGGGAGGCAGGTTGTACCTGGGAGGCAGGTTGTACCTGGGAGGCAGGTTGTACCTGGGAGGCAGGTTGTACTTGGGAGGCAGGTTGTACCTGGGAGGCAGGTTGTACCTGGGAGGCAAGTGGCAGGTTGTACCTGGCAGTACCCCACGTGGGTGTCTCTGAAGGAGTAGGCCACGAGCACTCGGCGCAGCGCTGCCAGCCCCTCTGCTGTGTCCATGCGCGGATGCCCTGGGAACGTGCGGTGCAGGTCCTGCTCTTGCACATGCACGCACATGCACACACGCACAGGCAGACAGACAGACAGACAGACAGACAGACAGACAGACAGACGGACGGACGGACGGACGGACGGACGGACGGACGGACGGACGGACAGACAGACAGACAGACAGACAGACAGACAGACAGACAGACAGACAGACAGACACAGCGATGTGCGCATGCACGCACACACAGACCAGGAAGTCAATCAAGAGCGTCAGTAACGTTCCCCCTTTCATGGGTACTTTCCAGACCAGCCAGTTCAGCCCCTCATTTCCCAGTGAGGTAATGCACTGAGTCAGCGTTCTCACGTGCATCATCATGCCCCACCCACCCACCCAACCACCCAGCATCAGTCCCATTCAATTCACGCCCTCATCCCAACAGCTCTGCGGAGCCTCAACCCTTCCCCAGCACCAGTCGCATGGTCCCATCCCATCCCATCCCATTTCATCCCATCCCATCCCATCCCATCCCATCCCATCCACGCCACGCCCTTACCGCAACCCACCCGCTTTGCCATCCCAGCAGCTCAGCAATCAGCAATCCCTTGGAAACGACTGACTGCGGTGCGGACGAAGCAACAGCGACAGTAAGCCCATGCGTACCCACCCACCCACGCCCCTGCAAACCCCATCAAACCCATGCAAACCCCGTCAAACCCCTTGCAATGCCCTGCAAGCCCCTTCCAAGCCCCTACATTGTCGATCTGCAAGGTGTGGTCCGTCTCTTTGCCTGTAGTCTGCTCCACGAGCCATTGATAGTAGTCCACCGGCGCCACTGCCTGCTTGCGCCCCGCGCCTGACACCGCCTTCCACACGCGCGCCCGCAGGTGCGGCGGAATGCCCTTCCTTATCAGCCTCTTGAGCGTTGCTGACGAGACCGCCCCGCTGCCAAACGCAATGCTCGTGAGGGAGGGTGTGGTGGAGGACGAGGAGGAGGACGGGCGGGAGGAGGCTGAGGTGGAGGAGGAGGAGGGGCGGGAGCGGAGCGGGGAGGCGGAGTGGCGGGAGCGAAGCGGGGAGGCAGAGTGGCGGGAGGAGCGGAGGGGGGACGCGGAGTGGCGAGAGGGGACGGAGGACGCGTGGGGGCGTGTGCGGAGGGGGGAGGCGGAGGGTCTGTAGGGCGACGGGGAGGAGCCTGAGGACGTGCGCGGTTGGAGGGAGGAGGCGGGGGTTGATGCAGAGGCGGAGGAGGAGGTGGGGGTTGAGGAGTCGGTGTTACTGGTGATGGAGAAGGAGAGGAGAGGGGAGGAGGCAGAGGCGGCTATACAGCAGCCTAAGGGAGGGGAGGCAGCACAGGGGGGGAAGGAAGAATCTAGATCTGCGGCGGTGGAGGAGGAGGAGATGAGTGCGCGTGCAGCAGAAAGAGGAGGGCCAGAAGTGGGGGAAGGAATGGTGACAGCAACCGTTGGTGTGGCTGCTGTTGCAGTGGCAGTGGCAGGACCAGAGGTGGCAGGGGTGGCAGGACAAGGCAGGGAGGAGGAAGAGGAGGAGGCGGAGAGAGGCATAGGACCATGGCACGAACTGTCTCTGCTCGAAGCCTCGCTAACGCACTTAGAGAGCGACGACACAGACATGCTATGGGAACGCGAGTGGGGCTGAGAGTGCGGGAGGGATTGCGAGTGTGTGTGGGAGTGGGCGTGGGAGATGGAGTGGGTGTGGGAGTGGGGGAGGGAGCGCGAGGCGGGGGTGTGGAGAGAGGGGTTGGTGGCGATGGCGGCGTGGGTGCGTGCGGCCTGTGTGCCGTCCTCGACGTGGAACCAGTGTGGCCCTCGGTTGGCTTCATGGCTCCACCACACTCGACTCCGCTCCTGCGCTCTCTTCTCCACCTGCTCGTTGAAGGGCGGGCGCAAGGGAGAGAGCGAGGGGGGCACGGAAGGAGGGAAGGGAAAGGAGGGAACAGGAAGGGAAGGCAAAGGAATGGAAGGGAAAGGAGGGAACAGGAAGGGAAGGCAAAGGAATGGAAGGGAAAGGAATGGAAGGGGACGGAAGGGAGAAGGAAACGGAAGAGATTGGAAACAGGAGATAAGAAAGGGAAAGGAAGGAAAATTATCCATGCACACAACCATGCACTCACACCATGCACGCACCCATGCACGCACCCATGCACACACACATGCCCACCCACCCACCCCCACACACACACACACACACACACACACACGCACCTGGTTGAGCACGATGGCATCTTGCAATGACACGAGCGTCTTAAAGTCGTGCATGTCCGTGAAGCTCACTTGTATCACTCCCCCGCCTCCACTGCCGCCCTCCTCCATTGCCACCGGACCCATGCCCCCCATTCACGTCCTGCTGCTGCTGCTGCTGCTGCTGCTGCTGCTGCTGCTGCTGCAGTTGCTGCTGCTGCTGCTGTCCTATCGCTGGGTTTGTCAGGAGACGAGGATGCTTGTAGCAGCTTGGAACTTGCACCTTGCAACTTGCAACGCAAGCACCACGTGAGGCATCCAGATCCGAACTTCTCTTCTCAGCTCTTCTTCTTCTAAGTCCCAACCAACTTCACTTCACCGGGTTCTACTACTACCACCCCGTGCCCCGCACCTCCCTTCTCCAGCACAGCCTCTGCTCTGTCTACCAACCAGCCCGCAGCCCACTTTCACCACGTCACCTTCCCGCACCTCCCTTCTCCCACCTTTCCTCGTCCGCCATCCGGCCCTTGCAAGTTACAACCGCACGACCACACAACCACACAACCACCGTACGTTCTGTTCTTAGACAGCAGTCTGCCTCCCACTGTGTTGCTTTACTCTTCCTCCGGGCCCCAGCCTGCCCCCGGGTCTACTTCTGATCTGAACCTCTACAGCCGCTTTTCCCCCGGGCGAACCAAGCCAACGGGACGACCACAATGCTGCTCTCCGCCTCCTTCTCCGCCTTCCGCTCCGTCTTCTCTCCGCCTGCTTCTCCGCCTGCTTCTCCGCCTGCTTCTCCGCGTGCTTCTCCGCCTGCCTCTCCGCCTGTCCCCGCCTGACTTGAGCTCAACTCTCCGCTCCTCCGTGACAGCTTCGACCGCAGTCAAAGCAAGAACCCGCCCCCGCTGCGCTTCGTGTCTACTCCCACTCTCACTGTCACTCTCACTCTCACTCTCACTCCCACTCTCACTCCCGTTCTCACTCTCAGTCTTCCTTGAAGTCTACTTTGTCGTCTCTGAAGTCATCTTCGGCCGAGATCAAGGCGAAAATCTGCGCTGCCGCGCATAGAGCCTACACGCAATCTCCGTCCTGGCCCCGAAATCTATCCGCAAGGCGCCGAAGGACTCAACCAGCGGTACAAAAAGGTTCGTTGCGATTCCGCTGGAAGGGGAAAGGGAAGGGAGGAACGGACGGGGGACAGGGACGGGAGGGAGGGGGGAGGGGGGAGGGAAAGGGGGAGGAGGGAAGGGGGAGAGAGAGATAAGGAACGGGAAAGGGTTACTGAGAGTGACGGCGAGTGCTAGGGTTAGTGCGCGGTATGACACTCGAATAGGACACGGCAGACTCGGAAGGAGCCGTTAGTGGGCCCGGGTTGCTAGACTTTTTGGCATTCTTTGTATGCTGAACAGGCAGAAGTAGGCGAGAAGAACAGGCTTTGTACTCACGACTGACGACTGACGACTCACGACTGACGACTGACGACTCACGACTGACGACTGAAGACTCACGACTCACGTCGCAGAGCGGGACAATCTCGTCCGCCTCCGCGGACCGCGCCTCCATAGACGACCAGAGAAGAAGCTCTGGGTGCGTGTGAAGTGAAACAGACATGTTGATTCGCCCTACGCGGGGAGAAAAAGCGGAACCCGGCGACAACCGACTTTGCTGGTATGGTATGCGGACACCTACGGAAAAAGGAACGCGTACCGTGCGAAATGAGCGCTCGTTCAGTCGCAGTGCCAATGCCGGTGCGCCAATAGGGGGTTGATCTTCCGACAACGGTGGAGGTATGGGCTTGGGTCCACCGCCAACGGTCTGCTTAAATCGGTCGCTTGTAGGAAACCAAGCTGCTCATAATCCCGACGAAGAATGGCAAAGCAAGCACGCTGATACACAGATAAGCTGATAACTCGATAGGCTGGTACGCTCATAAGCTGATAATCTGATAGGTTGATTACCAGATATGCTTCGCGAGCTACTGGGTAGTCCTCGCAGCACGCTGTTACTAGCAGGATCGAGCTCCCTGGGAAAGCTAGCAACCGGACCTAGCAGCGCAGCGCACACACATCGAATTCTCAAGAGGTGGTAGTGGAGCGTAGGTTACTGCGCACGCATGTCGATTGCGTTCACTAAGGTGGGAGAGACTGGTTTACTATCGCGGTACGAGAGACGAAAGTTGGGACGGGAGACTAAGGGACGCGGAATGAAGTGGCGCGAAGAGCGTTCACGCAATGATCGACGAAGCAATTGACGAAGTGACGGACGATCTGAGGAGCGATCACAATGCCGTTCACTGACGGAATCCGAGCGCCGCAACGCAACGCAACACAGCAGCGACCCTCCACAGCGAAGCGATTATATTTCGTAATTGGTGAGACTAGCGCAGCACGCGATAACAAAAAGCGCCTCACAGACAGCACACCGCAACCTAAATGCCGGTTACTGCTTCACATACAGACGGATGTTTCTTTGTTCTGATGATGAGATGAAGGTGTGCTGTGTGGTGAGTGGTCACTGGTCAGTCAGCCGAGTTGTTTCTGGTCAGTGTGTTTGTTTCTGTTGGTCATGCTGTCGTCTGTTCTCTGCTTCTCTGCCCCACGCGTTTAGTCCCTGTACATGCCACATTCCACGGTGTTGTTCAGTACGTCACGGTCTAGAAAGCTAAAAATAGCAGAACTGCTGTTTAACGCGTGGAAACCTATGGTACCGTACTGGACGTTAACGGATGGGTGGCTGTAACACCCCCCGACTGATTTCCATGCCATTTGGTGTTATGAATGAACTTGCAGAGTGCGCAGAATATCGAATAACAAGAATGAACTGATTACCGAATGACGACACAATGAGAAAGTGTAAGGAAAATTCCTTTTCCTTACTTCGCATCCCTGCTCAACGCGTACATACTGTAGCACCACAGTCAGCACCGTTACCACTCGCAACCCTCGCATCGACAATCCGCCCGCCACCTTCGCACATCGCACCCCGACCTCACGGCTCGGCGGGTAACCCGCGCTCCGCTTCGACACTTTTTCCCAACCTCAGTCCCAGGCCCGTCGCGCGACAACCACAGTCCGTTACCGTTACCACTGTAGTTTCGCTATATATTCTTCGCTCATGCCTTCGCTCATTTGGACTCTTGCTTCGATAGTGCAATTCTCGTTCGAACACTCAATTGCACTAGTAACACCTGGTATTCAGAGCCTACGATCTCCTCTCGGACCGCACCCACACCTTCGCTTCCCCACTATCTCATTTTTGGGGGGGGGTAGACGTCTCTCAGCGACACAGCACCGCCGCTCGTAGTGCTCTCTCGTAAGCACGCACGGCCACGACCGAGGCTCTCGCTGAGCTCGCCCGACACCCCCGCCATGGCCGAATTCACGCTCGCCACATTGACGCAGGAGCAGCTCGACCGTCTGGTGCGCCAACTCGAAGACTCGGCGCTTGAAATTGCGACGCTCACGGCGGAACGTGACTTCGCGCGTCAGCAATCAACGATGAACACTCCAGCGCCACCACACGCACCGACAAATGCATCTGCACAATCAGACGAGCCGATCGTCATCTCGTCCGGCACACCAACACAAAACAACAGCGTGGGACAGCGCTCAGGCGTAGCCAGCGATGGCGCCGCCCAGCCGATGCCTGGCATGGGAGGAAACAGGGTCGCACCAAGCCCGCGGGAGCCTCGCGAAGCCCGTCGACACGAGGAGTTCGCGGCGACAAGTGGCGAACAGACCATTATGGCACCAATGCCACTCAAGCCGCAACGCCCGCCCTGCTTCGACCCGAGCCAGCGTGGAGGTCCGACGGTTCAATCGTGGGTCTTCACGATGAACGTCTTCTTCGACGCGAATTACGTCGAGTCGGATGCAACGAAGATTCGGTATGCCGTTTCGCTGCTAAGGGGCCCCGCCATGGACTGGTGGCGAGTCATCGTGACGTCGCCACGCGCCTACGAGCCACCGTCGCAAGAGGAAGGGCCCACGGGCCCAGCTGTCACCTGGAGTTCATTCTGCGAGACCGCCCAATACAGCACGTGGGATGCGTGGTGCGCAGGGCTTCGGGCGCGCTTCGAGCCGATCGCGGCTTCTATTTCGGCGCGTCAGAGATTGCGCACCTGGCGGCAGCTTGGATCGGTTCAAGACTATACGAGTGGTTTTCTCGCATTATGCGAGCAAGTCGGCTACATGCACGAAGCGGAGCGGGTGGACCGTTACGTCGGAGGGCTGAAGCCGGACATCTCGCACGAAATCATGCTACGCGGGCTCTCGAACTTCAACGAGATTCTCGCGCTCGCCGGGAAAATCGACATTTTACGCCGTCCGAGACCGGGGTCCTACTATGGACATCGTGCTCGGGGACCAATCGAGCACGCCACTGTACACGCTGTTGCGACGAATGCAGCTGCCGCGCCGTTTAAGGGGCGCTGCTTTGCTTGCAACAGACCGGGCCATCGCAAGAGCGAATGCCCAGAGGAGCTAAGGCGCCGCGGAGCAGAGCAGGGGAGGGAGTCTCCAAAGCAAGGAAAAGCCAGCAGTCAGTAGGAATCGGGCCAACTACTGACGAGACTGCCTGCTCGCCCAACCCCACCGACCCTCACCGAGTCACAGTACCGATTCATGCTATCGATCGGACTCGGACGAATAAGGAGGGTACAGCGACGGATCGCCCAGTACTGATCCACGGGAAAATACAGGGAGCAGCAGTGAAGATTTTTATCGACGGAGGAGCAAGCCACAGTTTAGTTAATACCGCAACCGCACGAAAACTGCAGCTGACACTTAGCCGTTGCTTACCGGAGATAGACGCACGCTTAGTCGACGGCACGCCACTGGCCATACGGGAAAAGGTAGAGAGAGTCAAAGTCCGCTGCGGGGAAAATTTCGGGTTTACACAGGAAATGCTCGCAACGACACTGGATGGGCACGATATTTTACTGGGACGTGATTGGCTGCGACGGTATAACCCGCGAATTGACTGGACGACGGGTAGCTGCACCGTGCGAAGTAGTGGTAACTGGGTCGAGCTACCTCGCTGGCAGTCGCCCGAGTCTTCAACGGTACACGTCAACGCCATCACAATGAAACGGGCTGTCGCTGCTGGAGCTGACGTGTACGCAGTAGACATCGCAGTAGTAGAGGAAGCAGAGCAGC